ATCCCAAAAGCTCAACAAACTCACACTGGACCTGTACTGGATGTGTGCTGGCATGATGTAAGTTAGATTTTGAATTCCAATCTCAACTTCTCAGGTACCGGGTAATACTATAAACCACTTGGATTTTGCCAAGTCTGTGAAGATTGTGAAATTTTGTAGCAGCGATATTTTTTTGAAATATTGTCTTCACGCATGCCATAAAATTCTGAAATCACAAAACTTTCTAGCAGTGAAAATTAAACTGTTTTCAACTCCAAATATGCACAATCAGTGCTTAATTGCTTCCTTAGTAGAATCTTCATTTCTTTTTTTATACAGGGAATTTCATATAGGCATGAGTGTTTTTTTATATAAAATATGTATATCATTAAATGTTTTGTAAGTTTTGAATGACACTGAAAAAAAGTTAAACAATCACAATGCTCAATTGATTGAATTGAAAGTGAATCAACGAATGGTTAATAAAACAGTCATTACCAAATTCTTTTATAAATATATTATAAGTTTTTTTGAAAACACACATGCCTTGGCTTCATAAAATTTTCTGTATTAAAATAAGATCCTGATTATGTGGATTACTTTGGAAATCATTAATAGTCAGCTTTTTTATTGATATTTTGAGAACCATTCAACACTTCCAATGCCCACATACAGTGCACAAACCTAATTGAATTTTAGTTGAAAACCATCATGCATATTAATTACATAATTTGCATAATAATCAGTAGTAAATTTTAAGCTTTGTAATCAATATCCCAAGAATGAAATATAGTATATGGGTGCACTAGAATAATGCAGAGTTCCAGGTCCAAGTCATGAATATTAAATTTAGTCTCACCAACACAGATGAAAAACATTGTACAATATTAAAATTACTTACTGAAATTTGTATGAAAATTTCTTTTAGAATATACATATAATATACTTAAAAATAATTGTATTTGGCGCACAAGGTTTTGTTTTTGACTCCCATGTGCGAAGCACAAAATGGGAGTCTTTGCAGTTAGTGTGTCTGTATGTGTGTATGTGTGTATGTGTGTATGTGTGTATGTGTGTATGTGTGTATGTGTGTATGTGTGTATGTGTGTATGTGTGTGTGTATGTGTGTATGTGTGTCCGACTGTTCCACTGCTATCTCAAGAACCATACATCGGTTTTTGATGAAACTTGGTGCATAGATGCTCTGGGCCAATGCGCAGATTTGATTAGGTTTTGGTAAAAATCCATGCTCGTTAATTACCTAATTTGCATGATAATTAGCTAATTTTTAGCTGTTCTATGACTGTTCCACTGATATCTAAAGAACCACTCATTGGATTTTGATGAAACTTGGTACATAGATGCTCTGAACATATGCGCAGATTTGATTAATTTTTGGTAAAAATCCGTGCATATTAATTACCTAATTTGCATGATAATTAGCTATTTTTTAGTGGTTCCATGACTGTTCCACTGATATCTAAACAACCACTCATTGGATTTTGATGAAACTTTGTACATAGATGCTCTGAACTAATGCTAGGTTTTGATTAGTTTTTGGTAATAATCCGTGGATACTAATTACCTAATTTGCATAATGATTAGTCAATTTTCGGTTTTTCCACTGATATCTCAAGTACTAATCATCACATTTCAATGAAACTTGGTACATAGATGTCATACGACACTGCACAG